TTAGCCGAATTTGAAACACAATGATCAATCCCTTCCACTCCCTCATTTCTACACTATATCTGTGCATGCTTGCATATTTAATTAGCACAACAAAATAAATAAATGGCTCCCGACAACAAATTGTGAACTCTAGAGTTTTCAGCTAATTTCTACATTTTTTTAAATGAATTTCGTAATATGCATAGTTTTGTGTGGTAGAATGATGTTTTAGGATACTGACGGTTTTTTTTCGAGGGGGATGTACAGGAGCTCAAATCTGAAGGAAAGACATCATGTCGTAACATCTGAAAGATGAATATAAAAATGGCTAACATCTGTGAAAACGATGTACAAGTGTCGCTGTTTTCCTTGTGCAAACCTCTCACTGAGATGACCTTGAGATGAGAGGACAATTGTCCGTTGTGTTACCATGCTACGCATCTAGGCTCATCTGTGTACATCATTATTTGCGACACTTACAGTTTGCATACTAGGTGACACTTGAGTGGATTACCACTGACTGTGAATAATGAATATAGACCATACAATGGATTTAAACATTAGTTCACAATTGGGCAAATTGTCGAAAGACATGCTTCCAAGTATTTACATATACTGTAAAATGGGTATTGTTAGCGAGGGGTAATTGTTAGCGATAGTTAGCGATCGCTATAGTTTCGCTAAAAATTCAATTCGCTAAAATAAACCGGGGTTAAAATAGACCGGGCGCTAAAATTTGCAAATTCCCGGGAAACTACATGAATACTAGTATTTAAGGAGCTTTTCGTTCAGTGCTCAACTTCCGGTTTGTAATTTGAAAAAGGTAAATATTTTTAAATCGTATGTTTCTTTCAATATCTGAAGGATAAATAGCCATCCATCAGTGAAATAGTATAAGTAGTAAATATAAAGATACAAGAACAAAAATGTGTACAAAATGTCCCCACCTATGGGTGATCCCGTCAAATGGTTATAAATGAGTAGACAAGACTTTGAGGATGGAAAATCCAAAATGGCCACCTTAAAATTTACCCAGAATGCCAAAAAATTAGTCAGTTCTAGATTTTCATACTAACAAACACCCCTGAAAATTTGAAATTGATCCGTCACAAAGTTAACCAGAAAACATGTAAACAAGACTTTACAGACAAGATTTGAGGACAGAAAATCCAAAATGGCTGCCTTGACATTTATCCAGAATGCCAAAAAACTAAACTGTTCTAGATTTTCATACTAAGAATCATCCCTGAAAATTTGAAATTGATCTACCAAACGGTTCACCTGGAAATGCATAAACAAGACTTTACAAACAAGATTTTAGGACAGAAAATCTAAAATGGCTGCCTTGACATTTACCCAGAATGCCCAAAAACTAATCAGATCTAGATTTTCATACTAAGAATCATCCCTGAAAATTTGAAATTGATCTACCAAACGGTTCACCTAAAAACGCGTAGACAAGACATTACGGGCAACATTTTAAGACGGAAAATCCAAAATGGCTGCCTTGACATTTATCCAGAATGCATAAAAACTAATCAGATCTAGATTTTCATACTAAGTATCATCCCTGAAAATTTGAAATTGATCCACCAAACAGTTCACCTGGAAATGTGTAGACAAGACTTTACAGACGAGATTTTAGGACAGAAAATCCAAAATGGCTGCCTTGACATTTACCCAGAATGCTCAAAAACTAATCAGATCTAGATTTTCATACTAAGAATCATCCCTGAAAATTTGAAATTGATCTACCAAACAGTTCACCTAAAAACGCGTAGACAAGACTTAACAGGCAAGATTCTAAGACGGAAAATCCAAAATGGCTGCCTTGACATTCATCCAGAATACCAAAAACCTAATCAGATCTAGATTTTCATACTGAGAATCATCCCTGAAAATTTCAAAATGATCTACCAAATGGTTCACCTAAAAACGCGTAGACAAGACTTTACGGGCAAGATTTTAAGACGGAAAATCCAAAATGGCTGCCTTGACATTTATCCAGAATGCATAAAAACTAATCAGATCTAGATTTTCGTACTAAGAATCATCCCTGAAAATTTGAAATTGATCTACCAAACAGTTCACCTGGAAATGCGTAGACAAGACTTTACAGACAAGATTTTAGGACGGAAAATCCAAAATGGCTGCCTTGACATTTACTAAGAATGCCCAAAAACTAATCAGATCTAGATTTTCATACTAAGAATCATCCCTGAAAATTTGAAATTGATCTACCAAACGGTTCACCTGAAAACGCGTAGACAAGACTTTACAGACAAGATTTTAGGACAGAAAAATCCAAAATGGCCGACAATAAAAAAAAAAAGTGATTATGAGTTTTTGCTGATTTCTTTTTACAAAATTATCACATATAACTACTGTTAACAATAACATAGGCTTTTACAACAAAGTACACCTGAAATTATTTATAAAGCTACTAAATAGTTTAAGTATGAAAACTGAAAAACACCATTCAATATGATACAAAGTATTATCGTGCGCTAACTTTTCTTAAAACATTCAAAATGGCTGACATGACTGAGCTAACAGGTCCAAAACCTAATGAGATCTAGAATGAAGTGAGCTGAACAAGATGTTAAAGTTTTAAAAGCAACTGTGAAGCCGTTTTTCTTAAAGCTTGCAGACAAGGATTTTAGCATTTGACTTCAAAATGGCCGACAGGAAGTAGGTATCGAGATAATTTTTTTTCATCCACATCTGTATGCACTCATAAGTTATCCCTGAAAATTTGAAGGTGATATCTGTAGCGGTTTTGGAGAAAACTGCCGGACGTACGGACGGACAGACAGACAGACGGACGCGCCTAGGCCGACAATATGGCCCCACACTATGTGGTGGGGACATAAAAAGCTGTTAATTGAACATGAAAGTCATGTCCGTTATTCATTCTTCTGCCATAAATGATAAAATTTCTAATGTCTCCAGGCATCAGCATATAAAATTTGAACCAAATCCGTCAACTTGTATTTGAGTTATCAACGATTACATTTTTTACGAAAAATGGTGGCCATTTTGAATTGAGCGGCCATATTGAAAATTCCTTCTCGAGCAGAGGTCCTACACTCATAAGGCATAAGCCTATAAAATTTGAACCAAATCCATCAACCGGTATTGGATTTATTGCCCCGGACACACAGACGAACAAACGGACGGACAGCCGGACGGTTCTCTATATCCCCCTCGAACTTCGTTCGGTGGGATAACCATTGTCACAGGTACGCGGGGCAACTTTAAGGGTTTACATGATAAATTATTGTTATACAATATATAATATCAAATAAACATTTTGATTAATAATGAAGGACCCACGGTCCTGTGCTCACACAGTTTGGAACCTTCAGAGGAATTTATATCCTGACTTTCAAACAAAAATATTGATTTGGATTTGTAGTCTCGAACTTTGAGAAACTTAGATAGCACAGTTGTGTGACCTTGTTTGATGACCTTTGACCTTGAAAATTTTACTTATTCAGAGCTCAGTAAGGTCTTTTGTGATTAAGCTGATCAAAATTTACATTCAAAAAACAATTTGAAAAATCAACTTTTTTGACCTTTCGAAGGTCACTGAAGGTCAAGTAAAGGTCAAATCCTAAAACTAATGTCAGATTTGAAAAAATTTGGTCAAATTGAAGCAAGTTGAAAAATAACTTATTTTTACTGTTTTTTGACGTCAAATATCTCAAAAACGGTAAAAATTTGATGCTGACATATATTGAGAAATATGTAGGGAATGCTTAAATCTATTAATGATGTAATTTATTTTAGGAAATGATCAAGTATAAGGCAAACTTTAAGAATCTTGTCAATCACAAAACCTGCCATTGACTTTATACATGAGAAAGTTTCCTGAAAATCTTATAGAGTAAACACCAAAAACCGTAATTGCAAGAGCTTTGAAATCTTCAGAGGACATAAGTTGCATATACACCAACTACTAAAAGTTATTTGAAAGCTCTACTTCAACAAAGTGTCTAGTATTTACAGAAAATTTGACTTTTTGACATCAAAATCCACAATTTCTCGGAAACTGGGCGAACTTGGGAAATGGCGATGATATGTCAAATAGGCATTATGGATATTCATAAAATGAATGTGGATATGACTCAATCTGAATAGCAGTTTTAATTTGTGCGGCCAATGTTGACAGACGGACAGACGGACGGACCAACGGACGCCTGGTCAATCCCATAGGCTCACTGTGTGAGCCAAAAAACTGCTCATATGGTCAAATCTTGATGTTGTCAGTTTGCATTATATGTATTATCTAACAACGAGCAATGGCATCACAATATGTATAGTACTTTAATTATCAAAGGAGTAGATGATAGTCGCAGGATGATGTCATACCCCCTGAAACAAAATGGCTGATAGAAAGGCTGTCCTGCCAAGCAATATCGACCTATAGGTTCCACCAGGATAATGGCCTGCTCACAGATACTCTATTGTCCAAAATACAATAACAGAGCTTGGGATGGAAGCATTGCCCCACGCAGCATATTCCCTAGATAATGTCCCACTTGATTTTGCTGTATTCGCCCCAGCAAAAAGAGATCTGAGAGGAATATCACACCAGAATCTCAATCAACTGATGTCTGCAGTGAAAACCTCCCTAGCCACACCCTTCAAGGATGGCTTCAAAAATGTGTACCACAAGTGGGTCCCCAGACAGCAACTGTGCATTGACGCTGAGGATGCCTCTTTTGAGCACCTCAGGAAGTGAAAATGGATCATGAAGTGACTCTGGAATGGATTATTTGTAACTGCACTGAATATCCCAAGAGTATTACATGATACTGCTCTCAATACTCAAAATATTGTCCAAAGTGACGTCAGAACTTAGCCCCGCATATCCATGACACTGGTTACCTTAGTAACCATAACTTTACTAATACTAATTCAATTGACTTGAAATTTTTATAATTCAGATATATGTACCTTATGTTGTGAAAGTTCCATGAAGAAAAAGCAAACAAAACAAAGGTTATAGCAAAATTAGCAATACTTATTGAACGCCCTGTACATTGCAATGTGGCTACAAGAATGAGTACATGTAATTAAGTATTCACTGCACTTTGCAGAACCGTTTAACATTAACATGCAGTACAAATAAAATTATGAATGTACATTACCTTTGTGTTTGAACAGGTGAACCAGTTTATGCTGTCCATTGCAATGTACATGTTGCTACTAGAATGAGGGAACTAAAAGGGAGTTTCTTTTGTCTTTGAGGAAGATCTCCTGTTACATTTTTCAAAACAAATTATACTTAAAGATTCTATATGCAGGAATATTTTATTCTCCTCTGTTAATCACAACTCTATACATGTATTATATTAGAACTGAGAAAATGACACCATTTATCAGAATAGATCTATTGTTTATTTCATCAGTTCAAGTTAATGAGAATAATGATGCAACTAATACTGCAAGTAATGTGTAGCATCATCATCTTAAAGTTATTTTCATGAGTTTAGCTAGAGTTAATCTGATAGAACTCTGAAGTTGATGTGACATGTCGTATGACAGAGGTCTATCTGGTGACTGGTAGATGTGGCTATAGGTCTTACTCAGTCTACCACTTTCATCTCTGTAACTATCAAGTAATTTCACATGTTTAATACAATCATCACTTGTTGCATAAACAATTTGAGAAAACACATTTTCATTGAAAGCAGCTTCATCATCTATCCAAAACGAGATATCATGTCTTGATTCCAGAGGGTATAAACTGATTGATTTGAATACAGTACTATAATGAAATACATTTTTCAATGCCTCCACAGTCCTTTCATCATTGCTCCAAATAAGTCTGTGATCAAGGATATCTACTATCAGACAGGCTAATGTATTTAGGTCCAGAATGGCACATGTAAAGTCAACACTATCATGTTGAAATGAATTTATTTTTCCAATTGTGATATTTTTTTGAACACTATCATATATTTCTAACAACATTTCACTGTTTGAGGGGCTTTCAGCTATCGAAAAATTAACCGTCCCTGTTTTGTTGAACTTAACAAATATTTCAGTGATGCACGAGTTCAGGATATCTTTCAATGAAATACCAGCTGTGGTTTTCACAATAAACATCATTTCAGTCCTGATTGGCATTTGTCTCTCTAATCTACACTTTTGATACACATCCCCTGAGACTATAGTTATTTCATTATCACTCTGTAACCATCTTTCCATCACCTTGCCAACCACATCCAACATAGATGTTCTCAGAGAACATTGATATTCTCCAAAGATATCTGCTTCTTGATGTGCTTCTCCAATCATCAGGTTATTGCTCAGAGGATCACTATAAATGTTGTAGGAGTCCTCGCTAGATGCATTCCAAATGTGACTTAGAGGTGATACCAAAGGACATGTTTCACTTGGAACAATTCTCAGTTCAATTCCTTGTCTCTTCACAAGATCATCCAAAATCAGACTCTGTATTTCACATACAGGATGACCAATTATTTCATATAGTTTTCTGAAATTAGAAATTGTTTAGAAAATCAAGATTTTTACAAGCAAGCCATACACATTTCAGCAAAATCAGCAATTCTAGATCACCATAAGGCCAATACAAGAACACAAATGTGTACAAAATGTCCCCACCAAGTGTTGATCCCGTCAAATGGTTATCCTGAAAATGAGTAGACAATTAGACTTTACCAACACAATTTGAGGACGGAAAATCCAAAGTGGCCACCTTAAAATTTACCCAGAATGCCAAAAATTTAGTCAGTTCTAGATTTTCATACTAAGAACCACCACTGAAAATTTGAAATTGATCCGTCACACAGTTAACCAGAAAACATGTAAACAAGACTTTACAGACAAGATTTCAGGATGGAAAATTCAAAATGGCTGCCTTTACATTTACCCAGAATGTCAAAAAACTAATATTTTTGTAGATTTTCATACTAAGAATCATCCCTGAAAATTTGAAATTGATCTATCAAACCGTTCACCTAAAATCGCGTAGACAAAACTTTACAGGCAAGATTTTAAGACGGAAAATCCAAAATGGCTGCCTTGACATTTACCCAGAATGCAAAAAAACTAATCAGATCTAGATTTTCATACTAAGAATCATTCCTGAAAATTTGAAATTGATCTACCAAACAGTTCACCTAAAAACGCATAGACTTTACAGGCAAGATTTTAAGACGGAAAATCCAAAATGGCTGCCTTGACATTTACCCAGAATGCAAAAAAACTAATCAGTTCTAGATTTTCATACTAAGAATCATTCCTGAAAATTTGAAATTGATCTACCAAACAGTTCACCTGAAAACGAGTAGACAAGACTTTACAGACAAGATTTTAGGACAGAAAATCCAAAATGGCTGCCTTGACATTTACCCAAAATGCCAAAAAACTAATGAGATCTAGATTTTCATACTAAGAATCATCCCTGAAAATTTATTATACAAAGAATCATCCCTGAAAATTTGAAATTGATCTATCAAACCGTTCACCTAAAAACGCGTAGACAAGACTTTACAGGCAAGATTTTAAGACGGAAAATCCAAAATGGCTGCCTTGACATTTACCCGGAATGCAAAAAAACTAATCAGTTCTAGATTTTCATACTAAGAATCATCCCTGAAAATTTGAAATTGATCTACCAAACAGTTCACCTGAAAACGAGAAGACAAGACTTTACAGACAAGATTTTAGGATGGAAAATCCAAAATGGCTGCCTTGACATTTACCCAGAATGCCAAAAAACTAATGAGATCTAGTTTTTTATACTAAGAATCATCCCTGAAAATTTGAAATTGATCCACCAAACGGTTCACCTGAAAACACGCAGACAAGACTTCACAAATCCAAAATGGCCAACAATAAAAAAGTGCTTGAGTTTTTGCTGATTTCTTTTTACAAAATTATCACATATAACTACTGTTAACAATAAAGTAGGCTTTTACAACAAAGTACATCTGAAATTATTTATAAAGCTACTAAATAGTTAAAGTATGAAAACTCAAAAACACCATTCAATATGATACAAAGTATTATCGCGCGCTAACTTTTCTTAAGACATTCAAAATGGCTGACATGACTGAGCTAGCAGGTCCAAAACCTAATCAGATCTAGAATGAAGTGAGCTGACCAAGATGTTAAAGTTTTAAAAGCAACTGTGAAGCAGTTTTTCTTAAAGTTTGCAGACAAGGATTTTAGCATTTGACTTCAAAATGGCCGACAGGAAGTAGGTTTCGAGTTAAATTTTTTCATCCACATCTATAGGCACTCATAAGTTATCCCTGAAAATTTGAAGGTGATATCTGTAGCGGTTTTGGAGAAAACTCCCGGACGGACGGACAGACAGTCGGACGCGCCTAGGCCAACAATATGGCCCCACACTATGTGGTGGGGACATAAAAAGGCATATATGTCACACACCTGTCTCCACATTCATCTGGTAATGAGGTTATCTTACTTCCTTGTTCAATAACTATATAGAACCAGAATCAACATCTCAAAGTCATTAAAGTGCAATTTTAATACAAAGCAGGATTTCAGTTTTAGTTATGAGACTTCAAAACATGTTCAAAAATCATCCACATTAATCTATAAGAGGACATGCATTGTAACTCTCTCACCTACTGAATTTTGTGGCAAAATATCTGGATGAATTGACAGTTTTGTCATCCACCATAATATAAGCAGTCTCAGGTTGTATACATCCAGGTAGCTCAACAGGATCAGCTGTTTCAAATATGTGAGTTATAGCACCCTCAGTGTTAAAATGTTTATCTTGACTCCTGTAAAATATGAACAAGGTATTGAACACTAGTCAAAAATTAGTAGCACTCAACACTTGTCCAGTCTGAAAAGAAACTGTCAAGTGTGTTTGAAGCTAATTCAAAATGTCTAGATTGATTTTACTGACACAAGACAGGTGTCTTTCATGAATTCCACTGAAATAGGACATGTGTTTACAATCAAAATTCAATTACCATTCAGGCTTTATTAAAACACCCTATACTAAAAGGAAGACCGACCATTTCTGTATGGCTACGATAACAGACGAGAAATGGCAGCAAAAAATCAAACAAGAATAGTACCACAATTTTTTTTAGAAGTTGTATTTGTATATCATTAGATCAGTAGATGATATAATAATTGTATCAGTTTTTAAGTGGTTTTAAGAGGTAGATATGAAACTAGACAACTCCACAGAGTAGCAAATCCCAACGAACACTATAACATATCGGGTGTCCCAAAAAAATGAGACACTTTTTGCCAAGTATTTTCTCGGCAACTAATAAACCAAATTCACAGAGAATTTGTACAAATTAGCCTGATAGTATCATTTGCAAGTTGTACAAATATAAAAAAAAGATCAAGTAAATATTGTGCGAGTAAGAAGAGATTCAAAATAGCATGTCAAAAATCACCATACCGGAGCTCTGCGATGAGACCTCTGTTATAGTGTTTGTACCAACTATCAGGTGATAGCATTTGTAAATAAGTCAAAATAGCTTGTCTGTGTGTCATTTCTACTTAATTCATTTCATTCTTCCCAAATATCCAAAATCCATTCATTCTTAAAATTCATTGGAGGTGATATTGTTAGAATAAATACGGAATGGTATTTTGCATGAAAAGGATTAATAAGTGAGATTTACATCAATATTGGTTATTTTTACATACTGTTTTTAATTCAACAATTCACACATAATATCAAGCCAATCTCTTATATATTTATAGCACGAACAGAAGATACCCTAAAGTGCCTCAAGTAAAGTTTTCAAATAATTTGGCTCATCTATTGCTGAGAAATCACTTGTCAAATTCCTTCCCATTTTTTGGTACAAACGCGATGAAAATTCCCATTGTATTGCTCCGGTATGGGACATTTTGACATGCTATCTTGAATTTCTTAGTACTCATATAACATTTATCTGATCTTTGATACATTTCTGTACCTTGCTAATGATACTCCTGGGCTACTTTGTGCAAGTTTTCAAAAAATTTGGTTCATCAGTTGCCGAGAAAATACTTGGCAAAAAGTGTCTCATTTTTTTGGGACACCCTATATATGAATCTGTATTTGTCACAATGAAATATGTACCATCTGCTCTTCCCTTGAAAATATAATAGAGATATTAAAAAACATTCATTTGAGATATATCAGAATTTCCGCTGATTTAAGTTGGTGACCATTTAAAGTGCTAATTCGGTAATTTCTGTTTATTTTTTCTCACTGCTATAGATTAAACAGATATTGGTAAGTAAAAATAGTATTCTCTCAACTCATTCTGTTTGTTCATAAGTGGCAAAATAAGATTTCCCGGGAAAAAACATGACGTCAAGAACAGAACCGGTTATGGATTTTAATCGGCAATGCGTTATGCAACTCGAATGTAAATTCAAAAGTCTTCATGTTATACTGTGTTCTGATTGGCCAGAAAGGAGTAACGCTTACGGAAATCACCTCATGGTTCAATGCCTTTTGGTTACAAGATTTTAGACGCCTTGAGTTATGTAATACTATCAACTGAGTGTGTTTATTTTCTATATTGTGTTCTGACTGGCCAGAAAGTAATTCTGCATGACTAGCTATGTGAAAACGTACCGCTGGGTCGGAGGCTCTAATTTAGGTATTATTTTTTTGTTTATCGGAGGAATAAACGTGGCTCCAAAGTAGTCATCTCTGAATCAATTCCTCACTTCATTGAATGCAGTTGCAATCAATTACACTAACACTTTATAAGCACGTTCGGGGATTATGAACTCCAACAACATATTCAAAACCTGTTCTGTTCGTGATGTCATGATTGACATTTAAAATTGTGTTCCCGATTTTGAACATCAAATCTCACATTTATAAAAATGTTTACAAAAACAGTTAATGGTTCGACATGTTAGTGGTATTTACTTCATTTAGAACGTGTATAAACTGTATTTTGACCCCATGAGCATCGAACAGACACTTTAAGGGTTTCAAAGGCACAAATAATAAAGACAATACATATTTCAGATCTAATAAAGTTTCATGTTACCATACTTTAAAGAAATCTCTGAGTAAGAGAATTCCTGCTAGGCAGCCATTTTGAATTTTCTGAGGTACAAATCAGAACAAAGCACAGACGTGAACAATTCGTACCTAAAACACAGCATTGTGGTCTTGTTGACCAAGAAAGCAAGATGGCTGCAGAAAAGTTAATCAGCTCTAGAACTTATCACTGTGTAACATATGTAAAAATTTGAACGGTTTGGCTGGAAACCTGTAGACAAGTCTTGAAAGTGAAGATTTTAGGACGGAAAATCCAAAATGGCCACCTTAAAATTTACCCAGAATGCCCAAAAACCAATCAGTTCTTGACGTTGATATGTAGAAACATCCCTGAAAATTTCAGATGAATCCCTCAAATGGTTTGGCTGAAAATCTGTAGACAAGTCTTGAAAGTGAAGATTTTAGGACAGAAAATCCAAAATGGCCACCTTAAAATTTACCCAGAATGCCCAAAAACTAATCAGTTCTTGACGTTGATATGTAGAAACATCCCTGAAAATTTCAGATGAATCCCTCAAATGGTTTGGCTGCAAACCTGTAGAAAAGTCTTGAAAGTGAAGATTTTAGGACGGAAAATCCAAAATGGCCACCTTAAGATTTACCCAGAATGCCCAAAAACTAATCAGTTCTTGACGTTGATATGTAGAAACATTCCTGAAAATTTCAGATGAATCCCTCAAATGGTTTGGCTGGAAACCTGTAGACAAGTCTTGAAAGTGAAGATTTTAGGACAGAAAATCCAAAATGGCCACCTTAAGATTTACCCAGAATGCCCAAAAACTAATCAGTTCTTGACGTTGATATGTAGAAACATCCCTGAAAATTTCAGATGAATCCCTCAAATGGTTTGGCTGGAAACCTGTAGACAAGCTGAAAAGTGAGATGCGCTACTCTAAATTACCTTTGAGTATAATAAAGGTATACTTCAGAAAGATCTCAAAATTGACGCAAATTCCAGTTGGCAGCCATTTTGAATTTTTTGAGGCACAAATCAGAAAAACAATACCATATTTGTGATCTACTTTAAATTTCCTTCAATTTGAGTAGCCATACTTTGAAAAGATCAAAAAATTATTGCGAAATCCCACATAAGGCGGCCATTTTGAATTTTACGAGGCCGAAATTAGAAAAACGATAGAACATTTGCAATTTACTCTAATTGACTTTCATTTGAGTATAATAAAGCTATACATTGGAAAGATCTCAAAATTAATGCAAATTCCTGTTTGGACATGCACAATACACCTTATTTTATTGAATCACTGCAAACACAAGAAATGAAACAATCATGAAACAATCTGATTCTGAATTATAACAGGCTGGATTGGCATGCCAGAGAGTACACTTATCTGTTCTCATTGATAAAACAAAAAGGAGCTTAAATTCTACTTTAAGTTCTATCCATGACCATAAAGTGTAGCGCCAGCAATAGTAGGCATGTTGTAAAAGGTGTACTGGCCACAGTGTTTTTCCTAAGCGTCGGACCATGGGACATCTCCGATGATGTTGACCCAGGAGCTGATTTATTCTAACCAACCAGTCCACAAGACCGTCCAAGTCTGATGGCTAAGATATGCACCAAAGTCTTACCTCAAACATCAGTCCGATCGTTGAACTTCATTTACTCAAGATTTTACTCATTATCACATCGAAAATCTTTAAAACAGACAGGATTTTTTGAAATATTTTTTTGAGTTTCAGGTCTGCAAACGAGGATAAATTGCGTAGCATAATCTATCAATAACTTCAAAAAACTGTTTTCTGATTGGTCAAAATGAATTGTGGGTAGTGACCATATGGTATTTCGTTCGATGTAAAATTTCTGATTATGGAAGCAAATTAACCGGGAATTCCAACACGGGACTTCATTACTGTCCACTAACTATTAAATAAATATAATTATAACGAGAAATTATATGGGGATTCATAAATTGATCGAGTAGGATAAATGGAGGTTAAACAATCCCGGGTGAAGATACAAACTACATTTGTTTTCGTCCAGTGTAGCAAAAGTAATTTCTGGTATTAATTTTTAAATTTCTTTTTGAACTTTTGACAAATGTCACGAAATCATACGTAGCTATCCTTTAGGTAAGTGCCAATACATATAGTTCTGAATTCGAAGTAACTTTAATATTTTAAGGACTGGTTGGTTTTCACTTGGACCTGTGATGTAGCAGAAGTTACAGGTCCAGATGACTGATGATGCTTAGCCTGGACTGGTTGAAATTTTGATATTGCCAGTCCATTGGTCCTGTGATTTATATTTGCTTAGGAAAAACACTGACTGGCCAGCAATAGTATACTCAAAGTAGACACCAATTTGACTGCAAAATGATTTAATGTTATTTTTCTAATCAGGGTTTGACTTCCAGTCTAGAAACGCCTACTTTCGGTCTAGAAAAACAATAATTTCCTCAGTATTTTTCAATCAAATACTGATGATCATCCATCAATTTCACTTTAGATTTATCTTTTCAAAGGCAGGTGACTTCATGTTCTTTTATTCTGATTATGTTTTGAATAGAAGGGATAAGATCAATTGCTTTGACTAAATGTTTATTTTCAATTGTTTTTTCAAAATGTTTAGTGCAAAGCTTCACCTGGGTGCAAACTGGGTAGGCTTTAGGGTTTAACCGGGTGCGGCACCCAGTGAAAAGGGTCTGGGGAGATCATTAGAGTTAAATTCAACAACAATCATTAAATGTAACATCAATGAATGTTATTTGGGAAATGAATATTTTTTTCAAAATAATCTTTCTAACATTTCAAATTCAATCATGGGTATGTCTTGCATCAGTGAACCAGGCCAGTATTAGGTCATTAAACTTCCAGAAATAAACTTAACGCTGGTCCAACATCATCAATTTTTGCCGCCATTTCTCATCTGCTATCACAGCCATATGAAAGTGGTCTGATCACTTCACATAGGGTGTAAAATGTTCCAGAAATTTTTATATTTTTAACGAACCTAAATCCAGTGCAACTGTATAAAGGATAGTCAGCAGCCACAAATGGAACAGTTTGCGACAGAATAAGATTTGCACATGCAGCCATGGCAACAATCTGCCATGAGTTTTGCCATTCTCTCATTGGTTGATCATCTGGGCTTCCACCTTGTCCCTGTGCCAATGTAACACATATCTGGCCTTTTGGTGAGATTATCTTCACTGAGCTTGAAAAGACAAGATCATTTTATTATATATCAAAAGTCCATCTGCTATGGCTCATTGGGAGAAATCAAGTTACCACTGTAGCTTGTCTGGGTGACAAAGTGGTCCACAAATTGTATAATAATAATAAAAAAAGCTGTGGTGCATATAACTAAGGCTCTGTCTTGGAGTGTAAATATGGAATACCAATAGGGTATTGCTCGCCAAAATATGGCAGTAACCAAAATACAATCAAACAATACAGTTTAGTTTAGTTTTATTGTTATTTACAGTGGTAAGTTTACATCATTTAATTTGTATTGTATTGTAAAATTTTATTTAAGTGTCATGGGTTATATAATAAATACATGTATAAAACAATTACATCATATATAAAATATCACTAAAATATACAATTATACAATTAACCCCAGACCGATAACGGCCTATAGGACACTGGGGACATTACCTAAACAGGTGATGTTCCCTAATCTTCAGCATTTGGCCACAGGCTTTTGCCACATATATAAAAATCCTATCATCGGACATCAATGTATTGAATTTATCATTGTCAGAAAATTCCTGAAAGCCTGGAATTTTATTTGCTACCTTTGAAAACAAATCATTTCTGGAATTGGAGTAAAACTGACATTTTAACAAACAAGGCACAGGACGTGAACGAGATCACACCATCAAATAGGCAGACACTATGAACCAGGAAAACTGTTCTCCTATTATGTTTACAAATTTCAAGAACAAGAAAACAAGATGGCGGCCCAAAAGTTAATCAGCTCTAGTACTTGATATCCTCTATCATTTGTGTAAATTTGAAGGAAATCCGATGAGCGGTTTTCCTGAAATGGCGATGACAAGATTTTTCGAAAAACATTCAAAATGGCCACCAGAAAATAAGATGGCCGCCCAAAAGTTAATCAGCTCTAGTACTTGATATCCTCTATCATGTGTGTAAATTTGAAGGAAATCCGATGAGCGGATTTTCTGAAATGGCGATGACAAGATTTTTCGAAAAATCTTCAAAATGGCTGCCAGAAAACAAGATAGCCACCCAAAAGTTAATCAGCTCTAGTACTTGATATCCTCTATCATTTGTGTAAATTTGAAGGAAATCCGATGAGCGGTTTTCCTGAAATGGCGATGACAAGATTTTTCGAAAAACCTTCAAAATGGCCACCAGAAAACAAGATGGCCGCCCAAAAGTTAATCAGCTCTAGTACTTGATATCCTCTATCATGTGTGTAAATTTGAAGGAAATCCGATGAGCGGATTTTCTGAAATGGCGATGACAAGATTTTTCAAAAAATCTTCAAAATGGCTGCCAGAAAACAAGATGGCCGCCCAAAAGTTAATCGGCTCTAGTACTTGATATCCTCTATCATTTGTGTAAATTTGAAGGAAATCCAATGAGCGGTTTTCCTGAAATGGCGATGACAAGATTTTTCGAAAAACCTTCAAAATGGCCGCCAGAAAACAAGATGGCCACCCAAAAGTTAATCAGCTCTAGTACTTCATATGCTCTATCATCTCTGCGAATTTGGAGAAAATCTGATGAGCAGTTTTCCTTAAACGGCGATGACAAAAAGCGGGACGATCACGACCACGATCACGACCAGTATGACGACTATATCCCACCGATGGTGTGATAAAAATGATGTTCATCCTCTATGGCATTGGCATTACAAAGAGTACAAAGTCTTTCCGGGACTGACAAACGTTCATACCGTCCAGTTTCTATTCGTAGAGGAGTTACGCCACACCTCACAGAGGCTAGCGCTTTCCGATCCTGCATGGCAAGATGAGATGCGAGATAAGGCTCAGTACGTAGGTCATGCTTGAACGTTCTGTAGGTTCTTAATTTGTTGCCCTGGCCTTCTGGACGTCTACCGTCATTACAGATGGTGTCATGCCAGTTTCGGAAGGCATTTTCCTTTAGTTCTGCTGCTATCATTGCAATAGGAGAGTCAATGGAAAGTGACAGATCATTTGTTAAGATGTGATGAAGGTTGTAGTACCAATTCTTAATCCTAAGCGAGCCTTGATCTCGATTCCAGTTGTAAATACGTCGTGTTAATCTACTGGGCTCCAGGGCTTCACAACGATCTTTGTATCGAGTTACTACAAGTATCTGCCGCTCGTTTGGAGAACACCATCCCATTTCAGCGCGTACAGCAAGGTTTGGGGTATACTTTCCAACTCCTAGGAATATTCTGCACGCTCTGTGGAATACCGCGTTAATGCATGCATGTTGTTTAAGTCCCCATATTTCCGAGCCGTATTCGAGGATTGGTCTCACAAGGCATTCGTACAATCTGGTAAAACACTTATAAGGGAGACCTCCAAATGCTTTATATTTCGCTGTTAAAAGTCCCAATGCACGGCTGGCAGATTGTGCAATTGATTTCGCGATCAAGGTGGTATCCATGTGCTCGTTAAAACATAGGCCAAGGTATTTATACGATGGTTTAACTTCGATATCACTGCCGTTGTATTTCAATTTGAAGTTACTTAAAGGCACTGATCTTGGACGGAAGTGGACCACGTTGGTTTTTGAGGTGTTCAATGACATTCTCCATTTGAAGCACCAAGCATGAAGTACATTTAACATACTTTGTATTGCCTGTTCAGAGTCACCTATGAGGGCAATATCGTCTGCGTACACGAGGATAGAGATATTTTCACCGTTGACGTCAACTCCAAGATTCAGTGATTTTATATCGTCAATAAGATCGTTTATATACAAGTTGAACAGCAAACAAGATGTCAAACAGCCCTGTTTAAGGCCAGAATTCACCTGCAGTGGGTCGGTAAGATGTCCATTTACATTTACACAGCTTTTAACGTCCTTGTACATGGCTTGGAGTGCGCCAATGAATCGTCCAGATATTCCGATATGACTGAGTTTATACCATAGCAAATGCCTGTCGATTTTGTCGTAGGCTTTCATTGCGTCCACGAAGCACACAAATGTGCTCTGTTTAGTCTTAATCCTATGGTCGATAACTGATGAAAGTGCATAGATGTGATCCTGACATTTTTTCCCCTTCATAAATCCATTTTGTTCGTCGTGGATAAGGTTGTTATCTGTACAGAATCTAGTTAAGCGTGTGTTTAAGATCCAACTGTAAAGTTTACAAACAGCAGAAGTAACAGTTATTCCACGAAATGTTGACGGATCACGTGGGTCAGTTCTGGCTCCTTTCGAAATAGGATGAACTATACAGTTGTTCCACTCGGTGGGCACTACGTTATTATTAAAGCAAAAGTTAAATAGCGATGTAAAGAACCGCATTGACTGTTCGTTAAGTAGGACTTCCATGGGAATCCTATCGAGGCTTGCGGCCTTTCCCAGCTTGGCTGCAAGAAAAGCAGCCTCTATTTCACTAGCTGAAATGTCAGTGTTGAGAAGACTGTTGTCTATGTTAGGATTAGCAACAGGTACGGTGTTACAAGCTACGTGTTCCTTTGCTTCCTTGTGAAATTCATTATCGAATTCGTCAGTGTGGCTGTCTGCATATAAAGATTCAAAATCGGACTTCCATTTATCCAAAACTAATTGTGTGTCAGTTATTATATTGCCGCTGTTGTCGTAAACTTCCATAGGAATGTTACTAGATCGTTCTGCACTAACTCCAATTTGGCCTATTTTCTTCCAGAATGTTCTCGGATCTGATGTAACAGTACGTATCATTTCCTGATGGCGCTTATATACATAATGGCGTTTTTCACGACGCTTTACAATGTCAAACTGCTTACGCTTATATATGTAGTCCTGTTTCAAACGTTGTTTTTGGGCAGAGTTCGGTTGTGCCTTGAGCCATAGTTTCTCAGCGTTACTGTATGCTATCCAAAGTTCATTCAGTTCAGCGGTCCAAAAAGGTCGATTTGGCCGAAAGTATTTCCGCGAATTCCCGCCTCCTGGTGTTATGACCTTGTAGGCAAGTTTTCCATCCATCTCATTGGATAATAGTTTCCTATAATTGCCATAAATGCTATCCAATGCCTGTTGCGATTGGTCAGCATGAGTAATCCTATTAAGTAACCCGTCGATTTCATGCACCACGTCATCAGTCAACATGAAATCACGTGGTATATTACTGGTGTCGTGTTTATGATATACACTATTTTGATTTGAACAGCCACCTGATTGGTCAGTCAGATTATAAACATTTTCTGAACTTGTTGACGCATTATGTCTTACTTTAAACTTCCAAAACAATAACGAGTGATCTGGCAATTGTACATCAGGAACAATACCAATTGAATTACACAAGTTTGACATGGTACATACATTTAACTCAGTAAACAAAGATAAAGACATGTGAGGTACAATACAATAATCAACAACTGAATGGCTCTGTGGCGAAATATACGTAAAATCGTTATGTACATAATTTCTCCCATTAAGAATACAGCAATTTACATCTTGTAAAAATTCAAGCAATTTGGCACCATAGGCGTTTTGTTTAAAATCAACAACATTTCTATCACCTAAATTATCTATGCCTGCAATATAATCAAGACCATTGCCAATTCTGGCGTTACAATCAGTACATATGAAATATTCACCTAAATCTTGGTACAAATAAATATGTGTCAGAAGATTATCAAAAAATAGATCTGGGTTACTCCTCACACAACCTTCTGGAGGCAAATAGGCGACACAAGTACAGAATGTTTTTTGCATGTTTACCTTATCTTTGAACTGTAGCCATAAAATACCTTCAATATCACTATTCAAAATACTGATTTCGTAATGATTCATCAAAGAATTTCGCACTAAAAAACCAACACCACCAGAGCCTATTCTGGCTCTTATATGCTTAGATCTATTGTTCCCAAACCATGTCATACCAGGAACTGAAATAACATCATTATTTATTAAGTGAGTCTCTGCTATTCCAAGTATGTCAAATGAGTTAAAGCGAATCATGGCACACAAAGTCTGGTACTTATCACTATAGGGTTGTGTTGGAAATCCTCTAACATTCCAAAAGCCTGCGACCAATGTGTCCTATTGTTGGCTTTGGGTTAAGCGTTCATTACTTGTTGACTGAGGTAACACTGGTGGGATAGGTTTAGAAGCCATTCTACGATTAGCCCCTGTGTTAGTCTTAGATTTGGCCTTACCACCATTTCGCTGATTGGTCCCATTAGCGCGTACTCTTCCCGACGGAGGGATAGATGTAGCAGTATAATCTGTGGTGGCATCTGGAGCTATTGTGGCAACTGGAGCTGCTGTGGCAACTGGAACCGCTGCCGCAACTGGAACAACTGGAGCTGTTGTGGCGACTGGAGCTGTTGTGGCAACGGGAGCTGTTGCAACAATAGGGGCCGAACTTAAGACCTGACGATTAACAGTTCCCTGCAGCGATTTGACATGGGACTCGACGCTCTGATGTATCATTTTACGCATTAATCGTTCCTGACTCAGTGCTTCAGGGGATTTGGCAACGTTAATATATACAGATTTAAATTCAGCAGAGTTTTTCAATACTCGTTTTTGTTTCAAAATTATATGAAGATCATCATTGTTTCCAATTGATAAAAAAGTGACTCTGGGTCTCGTTGCTCCTACTCGAACGGTCCCAACGCGTCTTGCAGGGCCTATTTGCAGATTACCAATCTTAAAGCCAAGGCACCTGGTAATAAGATCGTCCACACTAGTCGACTCAGGTAGATTAAAAATAGCCAATTCAGGCTTTTGTTGCAGACTTACCGACGCACTCCTGCTGTCAGTACCACCACTGACCTTAGTGTTAGTCTCGATTTTATCCAAGCGAGAAAATGACGACGTGACCTGTTGTTCGATTTTATCCACACTGTCGTTCAGTTCGTTGGATATCCTTGAGATATTGCGCCCAAATTCGTTACGGATGGCCATTTCTGACGTAGATACCACGTCGGTGGCAATGGCTTTTATACGCTCATCTTGTTTGTCCATATTATCTAGTACACGGTTTAACATGTTAAAAATTGTATTCAACGTTACTGTTTGGGTTGGGTCACTGTTATTGGGGCTACCTGAGGTCTGCTTTATTCGCTTATTTGCCTGGTCACCATCTTGAATATCATCCTCGTCATCAGGGCGTGACCGTTTCAAGAAGGGATTGTTCGATGGAGAGTCCACAATTGACGCCATAATCCTTTTCGATAGCACTCTTAGTACTTCATACAGTTCCCCAGACCTCTTAGAGTTAAAATAAGTATCACAGTCGACTAAAAATTGCACAGATAGCTTCACTAAAAATTCCACTTTTCTTACTTTTGGCGCATGCATGCGCACTCCCTCCCTATATTAATACAGTACAATACAAAAGAAAAGTAATAAAATAACAGCCCAGCCCACATGGGCTTATCAACCACTAAATTAAAGATATTTGTTTATAAATATTACATCTTTTTTTTCACACAAGTCTAATTCATTTAATATTGTAAATTGCATTGCCCAGGCATTTTTTTCAAATAAATACTGAAACTACTCAAGTTCTACAGTTGATTCTCTTTCTTAAAAAATTTGATGATTTTGTAAATATTTTTGCCTTATTTCTTTATAAAACGTGCAATGAAAAATAAAATATTCCTCATCCTCAATGTTGCCAGATTTACATAAAGTACAATTTCTATTTTCCAACTTTTCATTTCTAAATCTACCCGTTTCAATTTCGAGTGGCAAAATTTCCATGCGTAATTGTGCCATTAAAGATCTTTCTAACTTAGATAAAAGCAATAAATATGACTCAGTTTTGTTTGAGGATTTGAATTTTACATATGTTCTTAATTTTGGTTTCTTGTGAATTAAATCATTCCAAGTTTTGTTATATGTATCTAGAAGTTTCTTTTTAACATTTTTTATATAACAATACTCTAAATTCTCAAAATTTTCTTGACAGCCACATCTATTAAAATTTTTTTTGAGCGCTTGACTTCATTTACTATTTACAATTCTATCCCATTTAAATATTTATTTTGCAATTCTGTTATCGGACATCATTATTATTCTATTAAAGGTTCGAATAATTTCCTAATCTTTTTCAATTTCTAAGGGAGTCCAAGCAAAATCGCCATGCAATGCATCAAGTGGTACAAATTTATGAACTCCTGCAAAATATCGTTGGGCTCTATTTAGTACATTATTGCTAACTGATGAACAGTGATACACTCCCCAAACACCTACTCCGTAATGGAGAACAGGCAAAACACAAACATTAAATAATTTAGTGAATGTTTTATATCCAAGATCCTTATTCCATTTACATTTATTAATTAAAGCTGGACTACGCTCCGAAACGCAATCTTGGGTTGTTTCGGGGGTGAACTTTATCATTTTGAGCTTAATGAAAGATTATAGAATGATGAACAAATGGGGCAAATCTTGTGTAGAAATACTTACGATAAATGTGTCATTTCAAAGATTTTTCATTGAATTTGCTTCGATCGGTGCCGGCGATATGATTTTGGAAAGGTTTCTAAATGAAGAACGTGACGTCACTTCCGAATCATAGCATTCAAAATAAGTAGCGTTTAATTACTTCATCCTTTCATAATATTCAGCGGTGTAGCGGGTAGAATCCTCGCTGAGCACGCGGGGAGGCCCGGGTTCGAATCCCGCACTAGCCTTTTTATTTTTTTAACTAAATGATAGTTCTTTGATATTACGCAGAAAAAAACAATTTTTATTTACATAAACTTTATATTAGAGCTTGAAAATGTAAAAACAATATATGTCAACATATTGCGTTTTGGAGCGATGTGCAGGTTTAATGACCCAAGTGCTCTTCCTGCTGAATCTGATAAGGTTCTCACAATATCATCAAATTTACCATGTTGAGTAAATGTTATACCGAGATACGTATATTTATCTGTGTAATCTACAAAGGCATTCCCAATTATAAATTTTAAATTACTTCTCTCAACATTGACTTTTCTGAAGTGCATTATTTTTGTTTTTGAAATATTTACATTCAGTCGCTATTTATGGCACCATACAATTATGAGACGCACAATAATATGCTTGACTGATTATGCCAAAATATCTCATCTCATGGACACAAACAAGTATCATTTTGCCTCCAATGGGCGATCATATCCAGATATGATCATCCCGATTGCATAACAAATCAAAGCTAATCTTGCATACAAAAAATGATGTCGTGCATACAATATGGTGCCTCAGTAAATAAATGAACATGAATCGCACTTCCTATGTACAAATAGCAAGGGGTACCCTAATTGTTTTCACTAAACTGGAGTACTTTTGAAATGCATTAATAATTTTAAAAATATGCATGCTTAATTAATAATTGGTTCAAATATTAAGGCTTTTGACTTACCTCATAAAAAAGTGTTTGAGAAGTTGTCTGTTTCTCTTTATGTTTGATTTGCCCCCGATGTGTGGAAAGTTGAAAATGATTCTAGTCCAATTTTTCAACTGAAGATGAGGATAACTTGAGAGATTTGTTGCATCAATATTATACATCACTGTGACACCTGCAAGAAACAATCACGTGTTAAGTAATATGTGGAGACATAATAAAAAAGATACTCTATTATTACCACCTTGCCGGGCCAGTTCTAGAGGATTTAGTGCTAGTTTAGAAGGCATTCATCTTACTATATCGACCTGACCAATATGTGACATCATAGTGGTGGTCAGGAATGCATTTAACGGCCGGTCGAGAATGCATTTAACCACCGGCAATTTTCCCCGGGAAATTAGATATCGTTCAGTGCGTAAGATTCTCTTGCTGTTTCAGTCCTGGTCGTTAACAGTGGTAATAATACCTTCGGCCCTCGGTCCAATATTTCACTATGTTGCCCGCAGAAATTCTAACTGATATGATACAAAAACTATGATCCGGGTGTAATTTAGGTTTTAAAAATTAATCCGAGGAATACTTAAAGGATTTCATGTTTAATTTTGTGTGAAATTTTTGGAAAATGTTGGATTTTTTACATTTGCTTTGGTCATCTTTTCCCTTGTCGCCTAAGAGTGTTGATTATTTATTTGAGAATATGTTTCCCTAAGTTACATAATTAAGGTGAAGATTTAATATATATATTCACGTTTTTGCTAAAATAATAAAAATAGAAAAATCTTAAGCGTACATTGTCATCTCGATGTATGTTGTCCCATTGAACTTACAAAGTCTTACATATCTGAATTCACAGTTAACCCTAATGTAGACAACATATTTTTCATAACACTAAGGGGCAGAGGGATCAGATTCATTTAAAACTGAAACGGAACAATCACAATATTACTTATTCAACTTGATTGAACTATATTGAACCTCCGCACTTTCCAGATATAGCATAAATGGGATTTTAAAAAGTCATCTTCGACTAGCTAGTACAGATCTCTCTGTCAACTTCTTAAGATTCATAAAAGTCTTATTACGTTAAAGTACAGACGAAAACATCATGCAGTTAGCTCAATTCAACTTTACCCCGCGTGTTCAACTGTCACGCTTAATTTGGTAAACACCCTGTGAAGATTTACTAAATATTGTTATTGATTTGTACTTGAATTCTAAGCAAATTCTGCGATAGGTTCCCCTTTTACAATAGCCTATATATTAAGGTTCAGCTGGAAAGTAACATTTTGGTAAAAAAATTGCTATACCTGCACATGTTATTTTCTGGTACAAAATTAAGTATGAAGACATGTATCAATTGCCTTGCTTTTTTCAGGAAAGTATCATTACACTCTCTACCTATTTTAGTAAACCTGGAAACAGGTCAATGGTAGCTCCTGTGTTGTCCGGAAACTTTGAAAGAAAATTTGGAAAAATAGAAAGTGTGAAATATCAGAATTTCCTGGAGTTCCCATTGAACTCCTACTAGATATTCTTAAAGAAGACAATATAATGATACTTTCCTGAAAAAAGCAAGGCAATTGATACATGTCTTCATACTTTATTTTGTACCAGAAAATAACATGTGCTGGTACAGCAATTTTTTACCAAAATGTTACTTTCCAGCTGTACCTTACTTTAAATGTGAGTAGTTACTATTAATTTAACGGTGATGCTTAGATGCCTTAGAAGTGGTACTCAAATCACATATTGCAAAAAAGCTAATTAAACTTTATGTATCATTGAAGTAGTAGCCTTGGTTTATAAACGTTGAATACTGTCTTTATATGACCCTGTTTAAACAATTATAAAAATAAACATTGAAAGCATACGCCAAAACAAAACAGGCACGAAAGTTTTACAGAAAATATAAATTAAAGGGGCAATAAGGACTGTAGAGAAAATAGGAAAGTTTTTTAATTTTTTCTGAGCTATCAAGGCAACATTTGGTTTAACATCTTCTTTGACATACCTATTTTCTTAACCTTTAGCATGCTGCCGGCGAGTGACCCATTCACCCGATTTCAAACTTTTAAAAACTTTACTTTTTCGCGCCATTCTTATGATCCAATTAGATTGCTCGATTTATTCAGTGCCTCACATGACTTCCTGTTGACCTAGAATGGCGATATTTCGAAAAATATTTCTCAATTCAACAATTTAAACAGTGTTTTAGTCGTTTTTAGTGAACAAATCGTACAAAATGGCGGCAAAATGCGATGACAACAAAAATGTGGAGGAAATGGATTGCGATTTCGAGCTCTTTAGGCTCTTGGAAGCCAATAATGGTCATCGGAAATAGAAACTAGAATATTTTCTGAACTCAAAAATTGATCATTCGATCGCTGCAAATTCAGTTTTGAGTTCTGACCAGACGTTTAATCTTCCCAGGGGCGAAGCGGCGGATTCCGGAGGAGTATTCATGGTATATTTATGCCCAGTCGTGTTAAGGTATGAAAGAAATTCATGAGAACATTTTTTTCAAGAGCCAGGCCAGTATATCTTCCCTTTATGAAATTTTATCCAGATTCATTCAGTATTTATTGAGATATTAATTATTTAGTCCAGGCATATAATTTTTTGCACTCTTTGAAAAATAAGCCAGTCACGTGGGATATATTTAGCAGTTATGTCCCTATCATTGAATATATGCCTAAGGTCTGTCACCAATATAGCCCGAGCTTGCGAGGGTTATATTACGACAGACCGAAGGCATATATTCAATGATACGGACATAACTGTTGTATTACATACTTTTATATCATGGCTACGTTATATCAATGACGCCACGTGTCTGTGTGCGAGTGAAAGTAGGAAGAAATGAAACATGACGTCCCGATGACGTCATAAGATTGTCATGGTAAAAGGTTTGGCGGCTATACAGGAATATATAGCCGACCTTCAGCTCCATTGACTTCAATACAAATGCTTCGCTGGGTATGTAATACTTGCTGAAATAAGCCAGCATGCTACAGGTTAAAATGTATGGATAAATTATCAATTTCAGCATTAAAAAGTGTAAATTCAGTTCAAAGCATCAAAAAGGGGACTTCCACTTTCATATTTTCAAGATCCACCATGTTTCAAGAGGAATACCAGCTAAAACCAGAACAACGGCAACGCCAAAGCGTAGCGAATCCCATCGAACAGAAATGGCTGGCATTTTTACATTTGAAATGCAAATATCATAAAATAACACCCATAAGAAAGGCCACCATTTTCAAAATGGTTGATCACTAGCCAAGTTGTCATCAGAAGAAGTAATATGCTATTAAGTAGCCACATATAAAATTCTAAAAAAATCGCCAATGCTGGCCATTTTTTAAAATGGCCGCTTACTACCCAAAATGTCATAAGACAGTATGCAATCCTTACGAGTATTCACATATCAAATATGAACAAAATCGCTACTTTCTGAGTTGTAATAAAAAATTTAAATAACATACATAAAAATGGTGGCCATTTTTCAAAATGGCCGACTACTCCCCAAAGTTTTATTAGACAATGTGCCATGCTTAAAGTATTCACATATCAAATATGAACAAAATCACTCCACTACTTTTCAAGTTATAGTAAAAAACGTAAAAATGGTGGCCATTTTTCAAAATGGCCACCTACTACCCAAAGTGTGATTAGACAGTGTGCCATGCTTATAGTATTCACATATAAAATATGAACAAAATCGCTCTACTCCTTTTTGAGTTATAGTAAAAATTGTAAAAATAACACACGTAAAAATGGCAGCCATTTTTCAAAAGGCGTTCCCTATATCCCTCCAAACTTCGTTCGATGGGATAATAATGTTTATCTAGGGGGTTTCTTTGTAGATAATAAAAATAGATGTTAGTCTTGATGAAATATCCAAACTTAAATATATTTTGACACTGGTCAATGATCGTTGAATGACCCCTCTGCACTAATTATTGGACCTTTAAATCATTCATCATTTCAAATTGAAACTGAACAATAACAGTATTACTTCAACTTTATTTAACCTAGAACCTTTGAACCTCGGCACTTTCCAGGTATAGCATAAACTGGATTTTAAAAAGTTGCATGGTCCTTTATCAATACATTTTCAATATTTGGAATAATGCAACTAAACTCTTGGAGGTATACTGTGTAAATAACTGTGTACACTGTAAGCCAGTGAGTATCTATTTAACACCTTCAGGACTGTTAGCTTGCCAATTCCATGCATGCAAGATGTCGTATCACTGCCAGAGAGACCATGCGCAGCTAACAAGTTTGGGATTTTTAATTTGTGTTCATTTACGGTTGCATTAATGTTAATGTTTGCTCGGCCAGATGATGTTTCCTCCATTATGATGTTATTTTCCATTAGCTTGTGCTTGAGACAGTGATGAAGAAGTAGAAGGAAAACATCAGTATCATCACTGAGTACACTGATATTCTGTTGGCCTTTACTGGCAGCATGCAGAACCTGGTGTACGATAACAACATCTGCTTCTTCTTGAGTGTTCCTTAAGTCATCATGTTGGTCAATATTGCCTTTATGAATTTGTACAGGTGTTGGATCAGGACCTGTGATAACAAGGATGTTGGAGAGTGATCCTTCACTAGCTTTTTGAGTGAGATGGTCGATGACACACTTTATCAACTGGACCTTGTTCTCAGTCACATTCAGAACAACATTCTGTGCAGGGAGAGGTGTGTCAGAGCTGAACTTATACACTCTACTGGCTGATTGAGCTCGAGATGACCTGGTGCTGTTCTTTATACTATTGTCTTTATATCTGTCAAAGATAAGGTATACATCTGATTTGGTTAGGAGTCTCAGGATGTACTTCGTGAAAGCAATACAGAAGTTTTCAATTTTTTCAGCCATCGGCCATGTTATGATCCAAAGGATGGTACACCCATCAACGACACGTACACTGCAATTGTTTCCTCTTGAGGTCACCTCAATCTGTAACTTTTATTTCAGTGTTGATTTTGAAGTTGTGATATTAATTTCTCCATTTTCATCAAATAGTGATGATGGAGGGAACATCATCTGGCCGAGCAAACATTAACAATTTAACATTAATGCAACCGGTAAATGAACACAAATTAAAAATCCCAAACTTGTTAGCTGTGTATGGTCTTTCTGGCAGTGATACCACATCTTGCATGCATGGAATTGGCAAGCTAACAGTCCCGAAGGTGTTAAATAGATACTCACTCGCTAACTTGGGAGATGTCAATGCAGACATGACTGAAGTTGAGAAAACTTCATCAGAATTTGTTTCTAGATGTTATGGAATTACACCTAAAGTCACAGACAAAATGTCTGATGTGAGATATGCTGTATGGGCAAAGAAAATGCTGCAAAACACATTACAAATGCACCAAAGCTAAAATCCCTCCCACCAACAACAGAAGCATTTTCCCAGCATGTGAAGCGAGCTCATTTCCAAGTAGCTATATAGAAAAATGCTGATATGCCTGACCCCCCACTTATCCTTCCAACAGATTATGGTTGGGAAATTAACAGCACGGGCTCACTTGTCCCAACAACAATGCCCAAGGATACACCCTGTACCCCTGAAGGAATTCTCCAGCTCATTAAGTGCACATGTGCATCAGAGGGCAATGTATGTAGAACTGGGCGATGTTCATGCTCCAAGGCATCTTTATCATGTACATTGTTCTGTGTTTGCGAGGGGAATGAATGCAATAACCAACATACAAAGACAGTAACTGAACAGGAATTGGAAGAAACTGATGAGGATTTATTGATTGACACCCTTGATGAAATCTTAGTAAAAGAACATAATTAATAAATTCAAGATATATATAGCACCAAGAAATGACCCTTGTGGAACATCATTATTATGTAGGTTACTTTTTACTCATTTCAGATATTTTATATGTGAGAAAGAGATCATAATCAGATGTATTTAGTATTATTCATTGATAATTTTATAGGAAACACTAATATCAATTTGATATTATCACAGAATGAGACATTTCATAAATTGTAAGGTTGGCGGCCATCTTGATTTTTTTTATATTTTTGTCAAGAAACATTTCTGGAACCTAACATATTGGTATACATCATATTAAAACTCTATTATAGAAAAAACAGCAATATATGTATATGTTTATGTGTATGCTAGTTTTCTGTTCTAAATAATGCTGGCTAAAATACATAAAACGTGTGAAAATTCAAAATGGCCGCCAAAAAATTCCTCAAGGATGCCCATTGGGCATCCGACAGTTTCTGAATATGGATATCATGTTTCAACAGAAAATACAAAAAAAGTTCATATAATAAGCATTTCCATCTCTATTGGCTCTACATCCAGACTATTCACTAAATCATTTTGTTAAAATAGATGTACCTTTGTTTCTTAGCTGCTGAGTGTTATGTATTGCTTGTTTATGTAGAACAATCTCCTTTTCAGAGAGGTAGCTTGTGGCTGTTAGACATTCTGGGTTCAGTTTCTGTGTTAGAGACAAAGCTAGTGAAAAATCCCCCTCTCCTACTAGCAATACATCACCAGTACACTTTCTATCCATCTTGTTTCAATATACACACAGCAGGCTGGTCAATGGACGGAACTGTAAAAGAAAACGATTGATGACAAAATGTTTAATACAAACATTGTTCCAAACAATGCATATAATTAATAATGAACATTATACGGGGTGAATGATGAGAAATGGATGCTTTTTATACAGACACTTTTTTTAAATGGACCAATTTCTTTGATCTTTCCAAAAGTGATACACCATTCAAACCTGAAAATTTTAAGATGAAATATGTGTAAAATACTTTTATGTATCTTTATTTTTCGTGAGAGAGGTATGGATAACCGAGGTCCAACATTTCATAGCTGTAGGCACCAGGGGTTCAGAAGAATCCCCAGTGGGGATTCAAATAAAAATATATTTTCTGGAAAAATTCATATGAGTAACCAGAAACATTAATTTACTGTGCATTAAAAACATGACATAGTTAAGTTACACTTATCTCCAAAAGTTTGGCAACATTTGGCACAGGGTGGGATTGTCTAATTTTGCGAAGATTCCAGACTGAGAGCATGACATTTTACCTTCAGAATTATCAATAATTTCACAAAATATATTTTTTAAACTTCAAATCTGCTTCTAGGGCAAAGTAAACCACTTCAGGTAATGACCAAATCAATCAATCTTTTGTAGGAATTTTGTTTAAAGGCAGTTATGGTCCAAAACAAAGTTATTGAAAATGACACAGACGTCATATACTCAGAAAGATCATTTTTCTATAATTACTTCTTTCAACATCCGGAGATTTTTTGAAAATATCTAGAATAGTCTTCTGATGAAAACACATGTTCTTTCTTTGTGCGTCTCTGTTTTGTCCTCAAGAGCTAATCAATTGCATTAAAAGATAGAAATCATTTTGAAATGAGTTTTATATAAAAGCATCATAAAACGTAACCATTTGTTTGAATTAGTATTTATTACCTATCAAAATGAAATTTCAAGGAAAAATCAATCCATTGCAAAAGCTTATAGTTTTGTTTTTGGGCTTGAGCAAGCTATTGGTAGCACTTTCATATTGGCACCCACCCAGAAAAATGCAAGGCTTAAGATACAGATGGGAAATCAGTCTTATGAATTAGTTATATCCACTATATATCTGAGGAAGATATCATTTTTTTGAAAGATGAATGGTAATTTTTTTATAAATTTTCATGTATCAAAATATGCCTAATTCTCTATGTAACAAATTCCCGAGAAAAAATCCACATTTAAATATATACTTCAAGCATTTACTTAAATAGAGTATCTTTAAGTAATTTGACTGCATTGGAAAGATTAAGGAATTTGCTTTAAATTGATATGCAGAGATATAAAGAGACATGTCAAAGAAAACTTCACATTTAAATACATTTTTTATAACTGTGAATTGGAGGTGCATGGGTCCCTAAAGCTAGCATGGAGACAGTGAAGTGAGGATAACTTTTTAAAATTTCAATGAGTAGGATTGCAATGGAGACACATTTGTAAGACTCCAAAATTTCCATAAATCATCTTACTTTACCGAGGAACATCAAAGGAGCGGGAAAATGTGTGCTTCTTGCATTGTTAGAGTACAATAAAGCTCAAACCATTGTGAATTCTAAATATTTCATGTCCACCATTTTGTTTGCTGGGACTATTTTCTAGTCCAAAGTAATCCTCACTTATTTATCCATTGTTTATCATTTATAAAGCCTCAACCATGTATCTATCATGATAATTATACTGTTATAGATAAAATATACTAGTGATAATCCATGCCACTTGGTGAAGTCACAAAACTTGTATGAGGATTAATCAGGAAGTCTAGAAGTAGTTCCAGCAAACAAAATGGTGAACACAGCGCTTGCATTAGGTTAGAAAATTTGTGAGTCCTAAGGATGCAATTTTTTTTAAAAAGTGTGTCCTTTGAAAAAAAAGTGCGTCCCCTATTTCTAGCCTGTTTTGAGGTATAACTTTATTTTAAAAGCATTTTTTACCAAAACACCTTGAAGTTAATTTTGTTTTTGATTTCTTGCCGCGAATTTAAAACGGAAGTAAACGTTTAGAACGGACTGAATAAATGCATGTTCGTTCATTCGACAATGAATACATTTTATTTCATGAATAACCTAATATTTGTTTCTGAATAGGAAAAAATGTGGCGTGTCATGGTTTCAAATCTAAAAATAAACAAAGTTGAAAAAATTCGAGAGAATCATGATTATTTGTAAATATTCAACATGTTGAGCCTTATTTACGATTCAAATAAAGGTGAGAGATCATAATTATTTGTTTTTGTTAGGTATCGTTGTAAACACATTGTAGTATTGACCTAAAAAAATTTTGCGTCCAAAAAACGGAAATATTTTCAATTTTTGCGTCCTCCAAATTATTTTTGAGTCCTTAACATGCCTTAAATGCAAGCCCTGTGAACATAAAATATTTATAAGAAACTATGGTTTGAGCTTTATCATACTCTAACAAAGCAAGAAGTGCACATTTTCATGCTCCTTCGATGTTCCTTGGTAAGGTAAGATGATTCGTATAAATTTTGAATTCTTGCAAATGTGTCACTGTTGCAATCCTACTCCTTGAAACTTTCAAAAATTAGCCTCATTTCATGGTCTTCATGCTAGCTTTGGGGACCCATGCACCTCCAATTCATAGTTATGAAAAATGCGTTTAAATGTGAAGTTCTCTTTAGACATATCTCTTTAGTCAGCAAATGCATCCACATAAAGGGAAACAGATACACAAAATCTTGTGACATTTTTTTTTGACTTTTGATTAACTTTAAGCGCTACCTTAAGGTAAAATAAGGCTACTCCTGAGCCGCATGCACTTAAAAATTGAAATTACAAGAATTTTTTTCTCAAAAAATATATGAGCCACACATGGTATATTTTCTATCTGTAATAAACACTTAAACGTTAAACCTCTATTGCTATGAATTTTTTCAGGACTATCAGACATCACATTCTTGAAATACAGTACTGGATGAAATAATTAAAATGGGACGGAGGGGGGAGGGGACAGAGGGGGGGGAGTAATAGTTCTATAAAGTGAAACAACTTCACACAAATTCTTGTATTTGAAAAATTAACTCATTAACTTAGTAAGAAACTGGATGATATACCCCTGGAGACTGAAAAATGGGGACATTTGGAGTAAAAGGACTTAAAGTTGCGAAACATCTCTAATCATGTCTTATATACATATTGCTCCCCCCCCTCCGTCCCCTCCCCCCCCTCCGTCCCAAATTCATTATTTTCGATTATTTTTTATTTCACATATGGAAACTTATTTTATAAATTCAGCAATGACATTAATTTAGTTATGATAACATCACTTACAAGTATTTATTACAGGTCGTCCAGACCATTGTTGCTTGATTTATAGCAAAAACGTTGATTTGTGCCTGTTGATAGCATTGCGCCTTTTTTAATAGATCTCATACCTTAGATGCGTATCGTTTCAGAAAAAATCCCAGAAAACCTAACATATTCTACCATACCGTGTGCCTATCCATTTAGCAATTCAATAGTAAACTTTTTCTTGAAAAAATAAATCTTCCAGATTTGTTGAATTTCCTAGCAGAAATTGCCTGCTCCCCCCCTCCGTCCCATATTCACGATCACCGGGTGTGATTTACATGACCGGGAACATAATGGAAATGGTCAAAATGACCATAAACATGATGAAATAACCTTTTCAGCCCTCTGCAAATGTGACTGAAAAATAGCTAAAAGTAGGTGCTCAGGAAAGGTCAATGAACAGAATCTTTTGATTTTTTCAGAAAATGTGTCCAATATATACTTTTTGCTTTGTCATTTCCTGTCAACTTCCATGGTACCTTAAAGAAGAATACTTTAAAACCATTTTTATTTACGTTTTATTTGATTTTTATAATATACCCCCTCCTTACTCACGTCGAGAGCTACCATGTTAGATTTTGAAAGTATAGCTCTCCATCGTGAGGATCTCCCAGCTGAAGAATTGTGACATCTAAATTTGATCAGCGCCAGTCAACGGCTTGCTGTTTCTCTCAAACTGTAGCCTACATATGGGCTCATATGTGTCTACTTTCCCCGTGCATGTAGGATCGCGGATGTGCTTCTATGGCGATCAGGAGTTCTAATCGTTTTTTGTTCGATACCCATTTCCAATATGGCGGTTAAACGGAAATACTATCGACGCATGCGCAACTTGGGAAACGTCAAGCCGCCATATTGAATATACCTGGCCAAAACTTTTGACACGACCAATAAAATGAAGTCCTGATCGATACATAGGGCAGTGAGACGTTCTATAGTTGAGCTGAATGAAAGATGGCGATGTAGGATACATTTTCAGGTATATAATGTGCAACATGAGTTAGCTGAATTCCCTGAAATTTTCTTTGAAGTCAGGATTCTTAAGCTGTTGATTCTAGCGATAGAGAGCTATACTTTCAAAATCTAAGTAGCTCTCGACGGGAGTAACCCCCTCCCAGTCTTGTAGGGTCTATGTCTATGTCAATAATCTGCAAAAGGCTAATAAGCCCATACAAAGCAGTTATATAATTTAACAGTGATAGAATTTGAATAGAATATAATTTAAAACCTTAACATTTAAAAATAGATCTATGGTTTACAACTCATTTTAAAATTGAAAGGAACCTTCCTGGTTGGCCCCCTAGGAAGTCCCTTTATACTGGGGCGACTGTCAGGCTACCGCGTTGACATCACCTCTCTTTACCAGTAGTGCAGGCTTGTTGCTGTGCACTGGGGACCTTTTACATTAAAACATAAATCTATATTAAAAATACACCTATTTAATTGCAGTTATTGACATAGGCATAGTATGATGATTTAAAACTACTTCGACTGTCACAGTCTAAGGTGTCACCGGGTAGGGTGTTCCATTTAGCTATTGTCCTAGGGAAAAAGCTAAATTTGACAGTCGTGGTGTGGGAGTCCCATGGACAGGGAGACTGAATCCAGGGAGTGGGGCCACTATATTGATCTCTGAAATACACATACAAAATTTTGTTGAAATAATCTGGAGAGTGCCAAAACAGTTATGTGTAC